CCTTATGGTAGATTTTTTAGAAATGTGTGCATTTTCTATATATATGACATTCCACTATGGCAGGCGTTACCATAGCAATACAAAAGAATTTTCAAAATTTTACTTCATGACTTAATTCTCCACTCTTTTTATATTGATGCTACCCAATGATGCTACCACATTTGTAAGCAATTTCAAAATTTCCCCCGCTTCATGCCTTAAACAGGCAGGGGACGCTCCGTCTAAACGAAGCTTGAGTGCCATGAACGTAGCCTCAACAGCGCCTGCCAACTACATTAACGGCACCGTGAACCTAGCCTGCAGACTACGTTCACGGCGCCATGAACGTAGCCACTGCGTTTTTTAAACGAAGTGACTAGATTGTAGATCTCTAGATTGTAGATCTATTTGAATGTTCGGGAAAATAAACTTGAACTCTAGATTTCTATTTCTCCGAACGGTTTTCTTCACAAAATTTTTTGGTTATTTGCAAGATTTAGGCGTCATCTTTCATCCTTCCATTCTGCAAGGACTGGGAAGTTCAAGCATTTTATTGCATCGAATTCAATTTCTAGAGCTAGAGATTTTTATTTTTAAATGTTGAACTGAATATTCAGATTATACTTCAGTTGTGGTTGGGGCAACGTTCCCAGACTATACTTCATTGACTTCATTTGAAAATGCCTTCAAAAGGTGCTGCAAGAAAACAAGACTAATCGATCTTGGCAGTAACCTATTTTGCATAGTCACTCTGCAAAAACTAAAATCCTTCATGTAAAAAAAAAAAAATCCCCCCGCACTCTACATTTGCAAATTATCAACAAATCTCGAGAACGGAAACCGTTAGGAGAAAAATAAGAGTTTATTTTTTGTTTAGATGCCGGCTTTATTTCTCCAAACGCTCTTGAAAATAAACTTGAAATTTTAAATTTCTCCGAATGGTTTCCGTTCTCGAGATTTTTTGGGTTCTTTGCGAATGGAGTGGTCCGTGTGTGCCGTGTGAGTGTGTGTTTGTGTGTGCCGTGTGTGTGTATGTGTAAAGTGTGAACGGGGGGTCGTGGAAAGATTTTTTTGTGATTTAGTTTCTGCTTTAAGGGTGACTACATGCAATAAATAGGTTACTGCCAAAGTCGAGCAGTCTTGTTTTCTCGCAGTACCTTTTGAAGGCATTTTCAAATTAAGTATGTATACAATGTATAGTCCGGGAACGTGCCCCAACAACAATTGAAGTATCTGAATATTCAGACAACTAAAAATTTCTAGCTCTAGAAATTGAATTCGATGAAAAAAACCCCGCTTTTTCCTAGTCCTCGCAGAATGGCAGAATGAAAGATGACACCAAACTCTCGCAAAAATCCAACAAAATTCGAGAACGTAAACCATTCAAAAAAGTAGAGTTCAAGTTTATTTATATCCCAAGCGTTCGGAGGAATAGTCACTTCGTGACAAGCCTTGGCCTATACTATATGTTCCGCGCTAATTACCGATCGGCGCAATTTGCGTTGCGCATTTTAACGATTGTATAATTGTGCGGCAATCTTCAGATTGCACTACGCGATTTAACGATCATATAATTGTGTCGAAATCTGAAGATTGTGCATTAATATTTTATATAACTTTTAAAATAATTTTTTTGAAAATTCACTTCCATCTTTATTCTTTTATTCACATCAAGGAACGTTCATATATATTTTTTCAAAAGTGTAAAAATTTGAAAATTAAAATTAGAATTAAAGTAGGCTAGATAATCTCTAGACTATAATTGGTCTATCACGTGATGCAATCTGCTTGTCTGCGCATTCCACTCATCCTCCCCACTCATTCGCTCCGACCTTCATTGTGGGTTCTCCCATTCTTTGTTTCACTAGATCACCAACAAGTTTCTCAACTAGCGAGGTTTTACATCATATATATATGATATATATATCAGACCTGCCACTCATCCCGATTTAGTCGGGATATCCCGATTTTTTTGCCCAAATCTGAAGCATCCCGATTTTCCCGATTTCCATCGCGTGTATCCCGATTTTCCCGATTTCCATCGCGTGTATCCCGATTTTTTGTCCCAGTCTCCTGTTGTGCCGGATTTTTCTAAAAACTTATTCTGCCTTCTCCTTTATCGCGGGAAGCACCCGTTGAACTTTTTGTCTGTAGGAACTCGAAGCACTATTTCCCGAAATATCGATACCGCATTTAGTAGTTGACTCGCCCCAAGTTGTGTGTGATCTTTGCCCGCACTCAGAATTCTCCGATGATAGCCTGGTAACTTTTTCAATTTGGGACATACAAATAATCGATAATATTCATAGTTCCACTGCTACTTTCAAAACAAGCCTTGTCCAAGGTCTGGTAGCTGCGCGTTCACACCAAACACCCGGACGAGCGACAGTCTTTCTAACCCTTACAGAACTACATGTAACTGCGCTGACAAGACTAACAACATACGGCCGTTGTCGTTGCTTTAGTCTGAACGCATTATGAGGGATAAGAGATGTGTTGGTACAAATGGTCGGTCGGCCGCCGTTGTTATCCTAGAGTATTAGAAGTAGAACGACTGTCGCTCATCTGAGAGTTTTGAGTGAACGCGCAGTTAGTCGGACCCGTTAATAAAATTGTTTCAATCACGCGTTCGCATCACGTGACATGACATCGCCGTGTGAGTTCTGCGTGTCGGGGACCGTCCGTCGGCGGGGTCAACTTAAGTCCATGTATTTCGGGACTTATTGGTTGGGGTGGGGGGTATAGACACTTGGACTAGGAGTGCTGACGTGATGCTTCAGGATTTAAAAAAAATAATAACGCACACACACACACACACACACGCGCGCGCGCGCGCGCGCACGCAAACAAGCAAAGACACACAGAGGGCATATAGACCAAGTAATTTATTGACACCCCTGGAAAAAATTTTAAGTAAACTTTGGCAGTCGTCTTGGTGATTTGCTGCTGATCCCGATTTTTTTTCCATTGACAAGTCAGCCCATTTACAGTTCTACTATGCATACGAACATGTTAATAACCCCCCTTTGGGAATGAAGTAAAGACACTTCAGACAGTGACATTACCCTGGGGAACTGCTTAAGCTGATCTTGTCTTTTGTGAATGCTACAGACAATGGCAAGAGTTGATAGATGTAGTAACACGCCGAATGTTGCAGGGTGGGCCCAGCCACACTATGCTCAACATCAGAGACACAGAGAGAGAGAAAGAGAGAGAGAAGGAGATGCAAGCAACGTCTTGAAACCGAAAACCCGGTTAAGTTAAACTTAATAAAATGTAGTGATCCCACAGACCTTGGTTTAAGTTTAAATGAACAGCGCTAATCACGTTTACAAGTCTTTAGTAAAAGTATCCTTAGTGTGGGCCTATGGGTAAGACTAGAAAGAAGAGAAACGGCTGCTTCTAAAACTTTTCTACTGAAACACCAGCAGCACACAAAAGAGTTCAGTCTCTTTCAAAAATTCTAAAGATGTCACTTTTATACAGTGTGCCCTACTTATAATAATATAACAGTCTCAGTTATAACAGTCTTTTGGGTGTCTTTAGGCCATTCCCAAAGGGGGGACATTTCTCGTTCTAGTGCACAGTAGAATTGTAAATGTGCTGATCTGACAATGTCATGCTCATAATATAACTATGCCTGAACTGCAACAGAGAACTGCTGCTTTTTCTTTCCTAATCCTTACTATCGTCATTTCCCTCTACTTTTTTTGTATGTTTGTCTCACTCTTGTGACCCGCTATTTCCGGGGTGCCTTGGTAGTCGAAGCAGACTTTGTGCTGCTGAAGCTAGAGAGGTGAGCAGAGTAAAACTGATCCCCTGTAAGGACTTCTCTGTTGACATCCACCCCTTGGCGTCATACCGTATGCAGTTGCGAGCGCCGTAAAACCTCTACTAAAACTAAAACTAAAAACAATCTTTTGGCTATACTAACAGGCTTTATAAGTTATAATAAATCCCTGAATTCAGTCTCTTATAATGCATAGTAAAAAAGTTCTTTTAAATCAGGCATTCGAACAGACACGCTTGGCTATACCAGCAGTTCAACCTTTGGCATTCCAAGACCAATTGGACAAGAAAGCAGGAAATAGCAAATGAAGCAAAACAACAGCCAACGTTGATGGCAAATTAGACCTACGTGACCCACAGTAGGCCTAAGTTGATTATGCACACATTTTATGATGTCTCATAAGGTGTGTGCAGGGGAGGGAGGGGGAAAGCCGGATGCACTTTGGTGTTGATGCAAACCCAGTCAGGGACTTAGTGTGACCGTGGTCAAGCACATTGTCACATTGTCTCCCCATGTGCTGGTGAAACTTGTTTTGGGAATAAATGGTTCAATGAAAATAGGCAGTGGATGCTAGATCTATCGCAGATCTGTATGGATTATGAATAGTTGTTAAGTAAGCACATAGAGCATGCTATGAATTATTATTTCCACCTGTAAATCTCAAACTATGGGTAGTCTAGCTCCATGAGGCTAAGATACTAGAAAAAAAGAAGATACAGACGAGGAGAAAAAAGTAGCAATAACTGTTGGTAATCATCAGTAACGGTTTGTAAGCTTAATCATTAATCCCTACTTAAAACACAGGTGGGCTATAACCAGTCCCCGTCGTTTTATGCAAGAAAAATTATGAAATTTAGCAAACTGAGCCCAAAAATGTGAAATTATGAGATTCTGTTGATTTTAACAAAGAATGATAAAGTAAAGGAATATAATCCGAAATTATGCAAAAAAATGACCAAATTTTGCTAAATTATGCAGGGTGCATAAAACCATGGGGACAGTATAGCAGGGACATCACGTTGGCCCCGTTTATGTTATAGCTGGGGACCACAGTAGGCCTAATTCTTCTGTAAGTTTGAAGAAAAAATGTTTCTGGAATGACTGGTGTACGAATAGAGGGTAATAAAGTTTCAACCAAATTCGCATTAACAGTGACACAGTGTTTGTCATCAGTGTGTGAAGTCTGCTTATTTTGTGCTTATTTGTCTTTTTTAAATCTTTCTTTTTGCAGAATAAGGTTGTCATGGCCTTTGGGATAGCTGCTTTCACTGGATGCGTGTCTTACATTGTGTACATGAACATGAATGATGATAAGAAAAAGACAACGTATGTAACCCTGGATGAAGATGGGGGTACAACAACAAGACAGAGGTCGTCCCGATGGTACTAATGCTGCTGGTTTTTTGTTTTTGTTTCCTTTGTGTAAAAAAAGACAATTGTAGTTCATGGGACTTGTGACTTGTGTGTTCAATGCTGTGCTAGTTAAGATTCTGAAAAACAGCAAAGAATTATTTAGGGATGTCAGAAGACTATATATAATATGTATGGAGTGGATGATTTGTGTCCGACAGTCAACATGGTCTCTGGTGTCTGAGAAGAATCTGTGCTAAGAGTCAAGAGGATTCCTCAAAGTGTGTTCTGAGTATGAGCATATAGGAAAATGACTGAATGCTGAGGTTTTATCTTTTAAGAATGAATACAGGTGTTTATTAAACACACAAATGGCTGCATGCAAGACTCCGACAAGTGCCAGTTTGCAATTTGACATTTGTCAGAGTTTTGCACCTTGCTTCTGACTTGTGCACATCGTTGCTGCAGGATTCTAAACGGCTACTCCAAACTCCAAAAATGCTGTTTTTGTTTTTTCCCTGAATTCTGACTGACATCACACAACACATCTTATAAATGTGAGGCAGCGTGGTGGAATCAGGCTCTCGTCAATTTTGGGGCATGTAGAGTTATAATTGATATCATCTCAATGCTTGTTCATTTGTCTTCATATGGATGAAAAAAATATTCATTTATCTTGAATACAAGTTGAGATATTTGCAAATGAAGGAGGTGGGGAATCACCTGTTTTCAGGGGTAAAATTAGTGAGAAAATGGCCGCCAAAGATTAGTTATTTCCTAAACTTAAGAGTCCGTTGTAACTGAAAATTTACTTTTTTTGTACCTTTAATCAACGTTTTTCAGAAAAATCCACACAGAAATGAGTTCTTTAATGGGCATGAAAGGCGCTGAGCCAAAAAAACAAAAGTTTGATAAAAATTCACAAAATGCGAGTTTCTTCACTTTGATTATTTTGACGAGAGCCTGATTCCACCACGCTGCCTCACAAATATGTCTTCAGCCAGATAGACTATCCAAATAGTTGCTAACACATTGGATTCTAAACAGCAAAAGTGTGTTATAATTCTAATAGCCTTGCTTTTTACTTTTTTCTCTCTCCTGTAAAATTAACAAAAACCAAAAACAGAGTTAACCGTTTACAATCCTGCAGTGACGACATGTACTTCTTTGAACTACAGTTTTGCTATTATAAAATTGAGCTTCATATTATTACTGAATCTATAATGGTTGTTGAATGCCTTAACTCGCTCACTGCCAGTCAGGCACTTTTTGGCCTACTATGCGAAGAATACCAGGCGTTTTTGGCACCTATTAAAAATAAAAATCATTGTGATCTCATTAGTGACTACACATCAATGAAACTTAGTATGAAAGAAAGGCATTAAAACGTGATACAGCACGCAACAAAAGATTTTTATTGCACCAACTGCCAGGGGTTAAAATCCCATTGTAACCCGGCTGCTGGCTTTTCAAGGGTAGTTTTAGAATATTCTTTGTCAGATATCTATTCAAAGTAGACTCTTATAATTTTCACTATTCATCATTTTTACATTGTGTTTTATAATTTATAGAGATGGAAACAGATTTCCTACTCAAGCAACCAGTTGAGTAAGTGCATGAAGCAACCTCAAAGGCAAATTTTTCAAAAATATAATTTTTGTGTTCAATATCCAGACTAATAGAAACCAATGGTTTTTCATTTAGTGGCTGGATGATGTCAATCTAGAATCAGGAAATGCTGGACATAGAGATCTGCTACAAAATACCTGTTGTAATTGGCTACATTAGTCACTGGGTCATCAAAGGTCGCAACAACGGAATTATAAACTGACGTTTAATAATATGACCGAAATCGACAAAGGTGCAGGTTTGTCATAAATTTCTTGTCCATGTGTATGTATAAATTTTATATCTTGGCCCACAAACACAGCATTGGTAATGGCATTCAGTATCAGTGAATTAAGGTGCTGTTGAATGGATTTTTGTACATATAAATTATAAATGATTGTTTGCAAATGTGTCGAAATATAGAAGAAATAAACCTTTTTATTAAAATTTTACTTGGGTTATTTATTGTGTATGTTGTTATATTAATGTTATGCATGCCTTTTCATGTCGGGTTGTGCACAAAACACAGCTTAAACAACTGAAAAACAATCTATGTCACCATGAAGTGTAACAGACTTGCGTTTTTGACCAAGTTGATAGCTAACCTTGTTGTGCAACATAATTTGCCTTTTTGACTTTGTTTGAAAGTTTGCGAAGCAAATTTGGTCCACACATATATGTATGTAGAAGAGCTGTCCCCGTGGTTTTATGCACTCCGCATAATTTAGAAAATTTGATCATTTTTTTGGGCATAATTTCAGATTATTTTCCTTTCTTTGTCATTCTTTGTTAAAATTAACAGAATTGCATAATTTAGCATTTTTAGGCTCAGTTTTCATAATTTAAAAAATTTTCTTGCATAAAACGACAGGGACAGATCATTAGTTACAGTTAATAGAATAAAAACAGTAGAAGAACGCGGGGGTGGGCAAATACTGAGGCAGTAGTAGAAGGCTGCCGTACTCATGAAGATAAAGGGATAGACTGAGCACATTCCTTATAATAATATTTGCCTTTCTCAATACTTTCTCTGATACTCTACATTTTTTCACTTTTGCCCATCTTTTCTTCTGAGCGTCCTGACGTGCTCTAGACTGCCGTCTGAGTTCGTTAGCGTGGGCTTGTCTCTCCTCAGCAGTCATGTCTTTGAGACGTTTCTCCAGTCTAGACCTGTCCGCATCCACTAGGCAGTTGCAGTCCTTGCGGAGCTCCCTCCTTTCTCCAGCTCCTCTCCTCTGTGCTATTCTTCTAATTCGAATCCTGAAGACATATGGCCACTAAGTAGCGTTGGAGAAAGTTTATCGAGCAACTAAAGCCCACTAATCTATGCTATTGGTAACCCGTACTCTGTACAAAATTCTATTCCTAATCACCACACTAAAGACACTAGTACATGTGTACTAACTAACTGGTGAACAGGACTGGAGGACATCATATATAAAAAAAACTTAAGAATCACCCGTGCTGAAGCTAGAGTAGAATGAGAGTAAAGCTGTGCCAAAATAGTAAATGAACAAATAAAAATGCTGAAAATCTCCTCCCTCTCTCTCTCTCTCTCTCTCTCTCTCTCTCTCTCTCTCTCTCTCTCTCTCTCTCTCTCTCTCTCTCTCTCTCTCTCTCTCTCTCTCCCTCTCTCTCTCTCCCTCTCTCTCTCTCTCCCTCTCTCTCTCTCTCTCCCTCTCTCTCTCTCCCTCTCTCTCTCTCCCCCTCTCTCTCTCCCCCCCTCTCTCTCCCCACTCCACCACACACACACACACACACACACACACACACACACACACACACACAAACAAACAAACAGTTTAGGTTTGGACAAGGAGCATAAAAAACTAAACTGTAACCTTCTTGGGTTTGGATCAGATTGCTTATATTTAATACAATTTTATTTTTTGATTTCTGTGTAAGGGTCTAGTGAAAATTGCGGGCACTCCGTTGGAGACTTTCGTGGTATAAATGTGTTATCTTTCAGTAATAATAATAGTACATGTAATAGAAACAATGTGCAATGTGTACATATGTCAAAGGGGGATAAGTTTTCGAACAAAAGTATAATATTTTCTGTTTCTAATTTCTAGAGTCATTTCCCTTTAAATTTAGGGCCTTGAAATAATAGAGTTTTGAGTCCCGGGTTTTATTTTTAAATGAATAGTACAATTCTTTTTTTCTTTAATAAAGCATTCCTCCCCCCCCCCCCCCCCCCCCCCCAATCAACACAATTTAGATAATTTAGGAGACGGGCGCCCAACCCTGTCTTTCAGGACCAACCCAATCAGAGACGGATACAAAATCCCAGCAGAAAGACCGAGATAACGGTAGGCCCTACTGGTAGGCCTACTCGATAAAAATCCTTCCCACTAGGGAATCGAACTCGAGTGTCGTGGGTGTGGCAGCCAAACACTTGACCGCTACATCACGGACGACGGTAAATGCATTAAAAAGTTCTGCTTCGTCGTCTTGATGATGATGTTTACAATGTAAAGCATCATAAAAAAAAATAAAAAATTTTCTAGACCATTTAGCTCATGAGCCGCATATGCTGCCGCATTTCTGTCATTTGAGGATGGCTAACTGGCTTAGGCTACATATACTAATAATATGTACTAGTTGTTGTGAAGAAAACCGACTGAAGTCCCATGACATCTCTTTACAACATGTAGATTTACACATTGTATACTGTGTACGTGTATGCCATGCAGGCTACATATGATATCATTACATAGTAACCCAGCTGTTCAGATGTGTACTAAGCCTAGCATTTGATTTTTTAATTACTACAAGTTCTTATTTTATGGTGTAGATTGCACGTACTCAAGAAATGTTTCATCTCCTTCCTCTCGATCGCATAAACAACAATTTGTTAAAATTCAAATTCAAAATTTTGAAAAAGAAAACAAAAAAATAAATACGTTTTGTGGAGGCACAAATGCTAAAAGAATAAAATCGTTTTCGATCCTCTTTCCTGAAAAATGTTGCTTTCTGGGTTCAGAACTTATTGATCAGTTTGACGATGATATATGTTATTGTATTAACCAACGCTCGTGTACTGTACTTTCAACCTCCATGATACGGTATAGTAGTACATTTAGAGGATAGACCGCCAACGCACATTATGCACTCTCACAGGGGTCATGATCTCGATTCGGGCTGTTTGTGTAAGCGTACGTGTATGAGTTTATTAACGTCCCTATCAACACTACTGTGGAACTCGGATTCAACGAGGTCGCCGGGCCCGACCTAAAATATCGTTGAATCCGAGTGTTCGTTAGAGCAAACATGAGGTTTTGTGTAGATAATCACAGGCACTGAACAAGTAATGTGTAAAGAGAAGTAGAACTAATAAGTACAGGTATTGCCTGAAATGCCTGCATATTATTATGAGCTGTTTTTTATATTTCAAAAAGACCGATTAGTTCAAATGCACGCCTGTGTCATCTCGATTGTTTGCCAAAAAGTTGTGTTGCTGTGAAGTGCGAGGGGTGATTTCTGGGAATAGATAAAGATCATTCTGGGAGAAAAATGAGCGAAGCCACGTCTGCGGGGGCTGTTCACCCTGGAAGCGCCCTCGTTGAATCCGAGCTCGCTGATTTAAGTGCTCGTTGAATCCGGGTTATTTTTTAAATATTGGTTTTAAAGAAGAAAAACAAACCGGGGAATGTACCTCCTCTTGTTGAATCCGAGTTCTCATTGAATCCGCGTTGAATCCGAGTTCCCCTGCTTTAGGTTATTATAGAGGCAGGGCCCCCGAATTGAACGTCCATTTCCGATAGGATCCAACCAAAAGGGCTGAGAGCCTTGAAAACTCCACAAAACGACCTGAGTTCAAGAAGGCCCAGAGTGGAATTCGACTCAAGTCCACTCACTCCGTACCTCACCATGATACCAACTGAGTTAACGGTAGAGAACTCATGCTCAGCTGTCTCCATTAATGTCCACTGTTAGTTACTGATCGTGACTGAATGACACGGATCTACTTCGAGGTGGAACGGTGATTTTTTAAGGCGATTCGCTGCTGCAAGCAGGAAACAAGGGTTCGATTCTCGTTTGGGGCGAATATTTATCGAGTATCTCGATCTTCCTGCTTATACATATATATATA